TTCTGGTTTTAACATTATGGGGAACAGTGACCAGAATGCAGACAAGGGTTCAGAAGGCCCTATGGTGTGTTTCAGAAAGAATAAATCGCAGAGGAGAGTTTCAGCGATGTACAGTAGTACAGGACAGGGAAATAGCATAGACGATTTTAGGATACCAAGTGGAAGAGGCTATATGGTAAGAGAGAGTACACACCTTGCTTGCACTTGTCACACTCTGTAAATCAAAATATTCCAATGCATGGCCATAATTCTCTCTCCACAGTAATGCAAGGCACAGTGGCAATGGGCACATAGACATTACACAGCCTCATTCAATTTCCACCTTGCCTCCATGATATCCATCTTAAAGAATAATCATTCCTGAGTAAAGGACCACCCGCTCCTACAGCAGTGCATTGCTTTTACGCTAGTCAGTGACAAAAGGTGTTGTAAATGGATGCACAATGAGCAGTGCCCATGGTGCTCTGAACTGAGAACAAGATAACTTCAGTTTCTGGCTTTTGAGACGTATAGAGCTAAGTAACACATCTGGGTAACCCTAGTTTGCCCTTTTTGAACAAATCCTTTCCTGTGCAGCTCTGGATTCCTATGGCCTTGGATTGAGCAGGATGTCTAAAAGACAAGCATTTAGTCTTTTGGTAAAGGCTCCCTCTGCTAAATTTCAAAACTTCGGGCCCTTTTTACTCTCCTCTCAGGCTTACAGATAGCTTATATTTGCCATTCGATTCCTCAGGACACACACAGCAATGTTACCCTTTTGAAGGAGAGGCAGACTGCTCAGTCTTGTCCCTCTCTCTCATGACTATGGCCAGCTCTGAGGGCAGGATGTGATGGATATAGTCAGGGTTGCACAGAGGTATGGGTTTCATTTTCCCATTTTCAACTTTGTATGCTGCTAGATTGAGCATTCTGAAAGAGTGCAAGCTGCCATAAGGATGCTTTCATCCAGGAAGGAAGATCCATTTTTCAATTAATTAATTAACATTGCAGAAATTAAGATCTTGCACAGTGGGACCCAACACAGCATCTTCAAAAACAAAAAAAAAAAAGCTGGATTAGACTGGGGCTGTGGGCTTTAATCCTGTGTAATAAAACAGTGACAGCTTTTTATTAGTATTTTTATAAAACTGCAACAAGATACAGCTCTGAATCTATTCTTGCTAAACAAAGACAAACTGTATTCGTTTTTGTTAGACCAGCACTTTGAAATTCCCCAAGATAAGACACATAAATAAATGAAGAATCATACTTGGCAATGAGTTTGGCATCAGACTTTCAGTGTTTCATAGTTCTGGGCTGAGAAAATAAGTTGAGCAAAGTCTCTAGAACCTTTCCAGAGATGGAGTGTTTGGATATACTTGACAGCACCATCTTCACAGGAGGAAAAAAGAGGAAATTGTTTATTCGAAATGTGAGAAAGGGTTGCACTGCGTGACATGCCTGACATTTAAGTGATAATAGTGTTGTGCATCTGCTCTTTTGGCTTTGGTCTGACACCTAGACTCTGCCATGGTGCAACTTAGCCCTGTCATGGCACAGCCTTGATGACTAAACTCAGAGATGTGACTTGCCACCCGCTCCAGGAACATATGGGCCACAGATCACACAGCCTCTGCCACAGGCTGGGAAACGTACAGCGTCTCAGGCAAAGACCCTGCGAGCTCCCCAGCTGCACAAGGTGGCTGTGCAGGCTGCACCATCCTTAGGGATGCCATTTGCATTACAGAAAATTGTGGCTAATTAGAAATAAACAGAAAAATGCCTGATTTACAAAGAAATGTGTGATTTTGCCAGCTAATTTTTTTTCCACTCCAACTTAACATTCACAGAATACACTGATCATGTTAATGCTTTTGCTATATTCACTAATAAGGACAATTTACATTTATATAGCACCTCTCTTAGTTAAGAATTCCAAAGCTTTCAGCAAAATATACACAAAAAATTACTTCTATTTCACTGAATATAGTCATCGTTGGAATGAAAATCAACAATTGTGAAGCAGTGCAGAAGAACGTTACACAACAGTTGCAAACAAGACACAAAGCAAACCCCCCAAAAACCCAAAGCAAAAAGCCCCTGAGATGCCAGATGTAAGTGGAAGCAAACAGGACGTTAGTACATAAACAGCAGTGTGAAGCAGGTCTCTGTGTGCCCCGAGGAGCAGAGCTGGAGGCAGCAAACATATACTTCATAAAGATTACAGCAGCAGACTTCATACATGTGCAGCCTATTGCTTTTCTGCACAGGGAGGGACATTCTCACTTTAAACTGTGAATTTACCGTGAAAAATGAACCAGGAACACTCAATGGATTCTGGTGATGAGAAAAGGGGAACTAAGTGCATGCAAACCACGAGCAGCTCTTATCTGACCACTGAGCTTCACACTTCACGAATAGCCTCCGACTTCTAAAAGGCATTAATTATGCTAATACATTAGTCTGCAAAAATAATATAAAATAAAAATTTATTTCTTGTTTCAAATGATGAGTTTTGATTCTCTATCATAACAGCACATAACTGGAATTCTCAGACCAAAATAAAGCAATCTATTCTGTGTTCAAATCCTCCTTCTACCCCTAGCCCCATTTGCTTTAGTCACTGATCAAGTCTCCACACACTATATTACAACTTGAGAGTCATGGGTGGAAGAAAAAGCCATCCATCTAAAGTAAAATTAATAGCAAAACTTTGAGAGAAGGCATGCATGCATTAGCAAGACCAAAGCATAAGCGTTTACATGACAAATATGTTGATAAATGTTCAGCCCTACAAACACAAAATAACTACGGTTTGGCTTATAAAAATCCATTATAGCCCTTTCCCATCATTTTGAGGCAGACAAGGTACTTTTCATAACTGACTCTTGGAAGCAGGTTGTTTTTTTTAATTAACATGTTATCCAGGGATTTTTCTTTCCACATCTCTTCCTCCTTTCAATACTCTCTCTCTAGCACAGAAAGATTTCCTTGCCTGAAGTTGCCACTTTATTCGACAACTGTTGGCTGAGACCTCACGACCCACTGCATAAATTCACATAGAATTATTCATGTTTGGCACATTTCTGCTGGTGAATAACAACACCATTTTGTCTCTCAGACAAAGAAAATAAAGATTAAAAAAAAGAACAAAGGCAGCCTAATAAGAATTCCACATTTCCTATTTTTTTCCTAATCTGGTTAAACAGCCTCTACAAGCCTGAGAAATTCAACAAAGCAAAGTTGTTGGGGACTGTTGGTCTTTCAGTACAGAATCAACACAGATGGAACAGGCTCTCAGTGTGATTCTGATCATGGGCTCAGCTATGAGGTAACTTTTCTGTAAGATGTTTTCATTTTAGTTTTTCACTGAGTTATCATGTTATCATGCAACTACAGCTAAATCCACGCTGAAATCCAGGATCTGAACACCGAATCCAAACTTTTCTGGGACCTCGATCTCGTCCCCATAGCAGGTCAAGAGTTCATTCAGTGTAATCAAAACCACAATACAATCAATCAAGTAAAAGAGGACAGAAACTGAAATTATGAAACAACTTTTATAACAATGTCTTACTCCAGCAGAGTTACTGCTGTATGTATTTATATTTGAAAGATACACAAACCTGAATTTGGACTCCCACTTGCTGGAAATTCTCAGATCTTGGTTTACTGAGTTAGTACAAACTCAGTTTTTGATCCCTTTACTACAACTTTTGTGGAACTGCAGTGACAACTGCCTCAAGACTTTTCTAGGAAGAGAAACTGGCTAGCTGGCAAAAAGCTAGGATCACTACCTCTTACTTCATGCAGTAGGGGAAGAGTTAATAACATGGAAGAAAAAAGCACTGTCATTATGTTTGGAAAGAACTCTACCATACTGGATTTAGGTGAGAAAGAGAGAGATACTTGGCCCATTCCCTACTACAAACTTAGATTTATGTCAGAAGTGTTTTATTACTATTTATAACAATGACTCAGTAGACATTTTTAAAGTACTGTGACGCCACAAACTGGAAACACTCCTATATCTGTGCTGACAAATTTCTCCAAAATTAACGAGTGTGGTATTACATAGCACAGATTGAGGCTATGGGGAGACACTACAGACTGTAATATGAACTCAAAGCATGCACAATTCCTTAAGGTCCCCATGTCTGTCCTCTGTCAGCTCTTCTTTTAACATAGACTTGTATATCTTGCCCACACACTCATACGTTGGTTTGAAAAAGCCAACATTGATATATTAATGCCTTAATAGTAATGAATTCTCATGTTCTTTTAGCCCCAAATTCCAGAAGCAACCAATTTTAAAATTATCATAACGGTGGGTACATCATCAACTCAAAGGAATTTCTGTTTTCCTTTTAACCCAGGAAAAAACTTGACCATCTTTCTTTAATGCTGGAAGCTTGACAGTAAGGATTAAAAATTGTTCTTTCCTTCCCACTTAGTTATTGGAAAGGCCATGAAAGGCAATCAGTCTTGTGAAGCCACACTTCACAGCCCGCATAAAAATGCCATGATTCCCAGTCCTCTCCCCAAACTAATTGAAAGTGTGTAATATCACACAGCTGGGGAAAACTAAGCCATAAACATATGCAATATATAATACTATCATACAAAACCTGTTACTAATAGACACTTGATGATCAGCAGGATCGACAGGGATCTTGAAAACTGAGATTATTTTTGCTGCAGGGTAAGAACTTTTCCCAATTGAAAGAGGAAAAAACACTCTCTCAGCAGTGCAGGAATTGGACTGGAGTCAGTTCACTCATTCTGTTTGTGAAATATGGACTTTTCTTTAATGATTTCTGTTTGACTGCTGCCTTGCTCAGATGCTCTGGGGTTACTGCTGCAGCAAATCATGGTTTTGGTTAAGAGAAAATCCATGGCTTTCTACAGGGGTTAATACAGGGGTTTGGGGCCTCTGAACAGTCCCATGTCTGACTCCCCTGCCCAGGCTCCCCCCCCCCCCCAAAGCTATCATTTTATGTAAGGCCAGGTGGCAATATTACCTGTCACCAGAAATCTGGGGGTAGTGCTGCTTGTTTATTTTTGCATACAGTCCTTCCAAATGTTCCCTCTCCATTGGTGCTGAAGGAGAATCACGTGGATATACAAAGGTTTCTGCTACTGCTGGTGATGATGGCCTGTAGATGCTTGCTGATGGATAAGCCTCTCGGAAGTGGTTTACTCTGGCATAATTTGGATCCACCTCATCATCATCGATGTCAGGTCCTCCAGGACCAGTAGAATAATCACTCAGGCCTCTCAGTTGCTTCTGCCGTAACTCCTGATGCTTTGCACCAATCCTAAAAATGAAAAATAAAAAACAAATATAGAGTTGGATCTGCTTCAACAGCAACCATCACATGAATTTGAAACACCAACCCCGAACCCAATTGTTGAGAGCTTTCAGTACACCATGAAACTGATGCCAGATAGAATGGTGCACACAGCAATTTTGTTCTTTATCTCTGGCAATCACCTTTGTAACCAAGGTTGGTCATCATTCTGATGGAAAAAAATTAATGCTGAATATAGTGTGGCTTTTCACAAGCGTGCATGGACACAGATAGGTTTAATTCTACACCTACCTTTCACTTTGCAGCTGAATATACCTAACCCAATCCTGAAACTTTTTATCTAAATTAGCCAGTAAAACTGTTAGTGCCCCTTGGTTACTTGACCCACCTAGATTCTCCTAAATACATTAACTTGTTAAAAGTGGATTAAATGTGAACGTAAATGGAGAGATGGCACAGTTGTCTCAAATCAAAGGACCACAATTAATTTGCTGAAGATTTAATTTTTCAAAAATTTTATTTTGGCTACATAAATGTGGAAATCATGCCTTATTATATAGGGGATAGGGACAAAGTAAAACAGCAAAGAAATTAATAGAAACTTGACAGAAATGAATTGGTACATATAAGTGAATTAAAGACTGTTACTGGCAGTATTCCACTGTGATAAAGCCTTAAGTGGTATTACAAAATGCTGCTGCTAATCAGGGCCATTGTGCAATCCCTTTGGAACAGTAAAACATATTCAGGTAAATTTCAACCCAAAATGATATTCAATGATCCAACATTCATGCTGGAAAAAAAAAAAATGTACAGCAAGGCTCTGTGAGCTCTTCTGTTAACTACTCAGCTACTCTTCAACACAGGGTAATTAAGTGCTCTGAGATGGATCTGGCAGAATGCTGACCACAATATGCAATAAAGCATTTACAGAGAACAACAGAACACAGAGAACAGAAGAAACACACAGAGATGCAGTGCCTGACAGAAGTCAACATTTGCTATTGACTGTATCTAGAAGTACAATAGCAGCATAGAAAGAACAGTATAATTTGTACCGTAGGAGTGTAAGTGAAGAGGGTCTAGTAGACTTGGTCACCCCAGTAAAGCTTAATGGCCTCAGGACTCTGCATACTGGAAAATGATGATGTTCTGGAGAAAGTCTTTAAAAGGCATGGAGAAAAAGGTTCCCTAAAGAAACACATGAGCACACTGGGAGCCTCTGTCTGACAGACAGGAGCTATTAAGGGTAGAAAGTGATTCATACTGCTTATTTTGTTTCATTAGAATCGTATAATCAAAATAAATGCTAATACTTTTCAAATAATTTGTAGATGAAAACGTTCACAAATAATTCTAATGAGAACAACATGCTGTTCTACACATATACTTGAGTACATCAACGTGTATCACACGTGCTTTCCAGTTACACATCTCCATTAACTGTGCTAGGACATATCTAGAGGTGATGCTAGTTTTTAACACTTAAAATGTAATCATACTTTACAGTGGGATGAGCCTGCATATATAATACAGTCCTTGAAAGTCAGGGGGGTGCTCAGGTGCTCACAATCCAGTCTGCCTTCCTTCAGTAAAGCAGATGACCCTTCTCTCTAGAACTCAAATACTGTGTGCTCCACCCTGAGTACTGTGTGCAGCTTTGGGTGCCTCAGTGTAAAAAGGACATCAAACTATTAGAGTGTGTCCAGAAGAGAAAAACCAAGATGATGAAAGGCTTTGAGGGCAAGAGCTAGGAGAGGGTCAGCTGAGGCCACTTGGTTTGTTTAGCTCGGAAAAGAGAAGGTTGAGGAGTGACCTCATCACAGTCTACAACTTCCTCGTGGGTGGTGGCAACAGAGGAAGACATGCTGATCTCTTCTCTCTGGAGACCAGCGATAGGACACAGGGAAATGGCATGAAGCTGCATCAGGGGTGGTTAAGATTGGACACCAGGAAAAGATTCTCACTGAGAGGGTGGCCGGTCACTGGAACCGGCTCCCCACGGGAGCGGTCACAGCAGCAAGCCTGTTGGAATTCAAGAAGTGTCTGGATGATGTTCAGTCATGTCATATTGTTTTGTTTTAGGTTTTGTTTTGTTTCCTGTGAGGAGCAGGAAATCGGATTTAATGATCCTTATCGGTCCCTTCCAACTTAAGATGTTCCATGACTCTAGCAAATATTGAACTATAAGAACCATGTGAGAGAATAACATCTTCCTAACACATCATTCCAGGCCAGTTAGTTAATTTTGTTTCATTAAGACAACATTAAAAATACTCACAAAGCCTTAGTGTAATTTACTACAGTGGTCTTAGAGATGAAAGGATAATAAGAAGAAATATGCTACAATCTGTCTATATCCTTAACACATACATTGAGGCTTCCTAAGAATTTCTTCTTTATTCTTTCCAGAGCTTCTCTTCCCTGCATAATCACCTCCTCCTCCTGTAATCTTCACTCCACTTCTCTTTTGCTTCAGGTTTTCATGCCACACACACTCCCTATTTTCCACTGTAATGGTGGTTCAGGTTGGGAAGGCACTATCCTCTTGAACTACAAGAACAGGGCTGGATTTCCATTGCAAAAAAAGACTTGGACATCAGTGAAGCACATAGTGATGTCTACATTGATGTTTTCCATATTTTATACATACAGGCACTTCAAGAGAAAACCTCTTGCAGAAGGATCAATGTTCTGCATGTCATACGTGGGATTATGTCAGAAATGTAACAACAAAGGCATCATCTTTGTTTAGAACAAATGACGGAAGAACTGTTGGCTCCTGCACCCTGTGCCCAGTACAACCTAAACAGTCAGTTTGGTGTGGTCCTTGCCCCTGATTACCCTGCTGCTCTTCTACTAAAACGTGTGAAGCACTTGGAGATTGTTGCTGTCTTCCAGGTTAACTCTGAAAAAGCATCAAATATTCTTCAAACCCTGGGAAACTGTGGAGTGCTTCATCCTTAATTAGTGACCAAAAAAACCTAAACACAGAATTCAGTGCAGGTGCAAGTTTTGTGGCACACACGGATACATATACACGTGCTACACAGGCATAGAAATGGGAGATTACTGCATTTCAAGGAATGGTTTCATCACATGTCAGTGCAGAAGGCAGGACACAGTCTCAGAGTTGTCTCAGACAAGTCATAGCAGTTTCTCAGAAAGTGATAAGCCCTAATGTTCTTTGGACCTGTGCATCACTCGTCCCTAATATCACCTAGATATTAAGACCCATTTGAAAGCAAGAGTAGTGCAGCACAGCAGCATCACATGAATCTTGCTTTCATGTCTGACAGTAAGAGTAATTTGTCCTGCTATCAATACTGGTATATTCTGCTCAACAAAAGCTGGAATTAGGTCACCACAATTTTCTTTTGTTCCTGTGAATAAGCCTAGCTTCTTCAACTTCTCCTTCTGAATGCAATCTTCAATTGCTGTCAGTATTATAAGTCAAATCTTCTCAATTATTTCCATTCTATAGACCAGTCAATATCAGGCTGTATGAAATTCTTCATGGTCAGTGTTTCATCTTTTCAATACATCTATTATAATTGCATTAATATTTCTTGTTTTCCTTTTACTTTTCCCCACAAATGTATACAATTTGCTTGATGACCTCTTTTTCAGCTCAAACCAAATGTTCAGCATAGGGAAACAAACTATCAGATGGCTGCTTTTTCTTTCTTTCTATTTACCTGTCCTTCCATGCCTTCTTGTATGTTTTTCACCTTTGAAATTTCTTCACATTTTGTGAAGTTTTTAATTTCCTCACTGTATTTCAGCATCATGTTTTCACCTAATTTTAAATAAATCTTTTCCATAGCACATCCCAGTAGGTGCCCAGGAATTCTTTACTGAGAAAAAAAGAAAAAAAAAAAAAAGAAAGAAAGTGCTGTTCCTTCCATCACTCCTATAATGTTGTGCCAACTCCACTAAGCAGGGTACTTCTGTTATATCCCACTCTAGTCATTCACCATTTCTGCACCTCCCTCTGCAGCTCTCTGTAGCTGAAACAGCAGAATCTTTACTCCCCATCACAAAAATAAATAAATAAATAAATAAAAATCTTCCAAATTAACACAGCTATAATTGCAAGCAGTTCATTGAACAATTGCCATAAGAGAGCCCCAGACTCGCCGTACAGGATAGGTCTGGTTAAACAACTGGTGCAAATTTGTGACTAAAGATAAAACATCACTCAGCACCACAATGTTGGCAGTGAAACCAGAGATGAGGAGGGGTACAGTTCACCATCTGAACAATTTAGTGTGGCACTAAAGTTCTACAAACTTCCTGATGAGGGAAAGGGAAAAGAAAAAACAAACAGAATAAAGGGAAGTTAGATATATTTCCTTTTGAGCATCCCATATCAATCCTGCTTGCTCTCTTCCGCCACCTGAACACTGTGCTCTCCAGTTAACTCACTGCACAACTGCACCAACTTCCCTTAGCAGTATTCCTGTAAAAACAGAGCCTTGGCACAGAAGCAGCCAGAGGACAGGCAACAGAAGTGCTGTATCAAAAAAGGCCTTTTTTTTTTTTTAAACTTGTGATCCATCTTCTTCTCAATAGCATCCAAACACATATCCTATCCTAACCTTTCTCTACAACAAATAATTTCAGAAAAAAAATATAGTTTGATAAAATAAACAACCTCAGCAGAACTACAGGCAACATTTTCAAAACATGTTGCATTTGTAGAAGTCAGATGAAGACAGGATCTATATACCTACTGTACTTCTGGAAGTGGGACATGATATTTTGAAAACACTTCTCTACAGCTCACGTACTGTTCAGTAGCACACCCCTAGAGCTATAAATCAAGGAACGCTGTCATTTACCCTTCAATCTTCCCATCTGACGTATCTACACAACTCAAACATGGTGACTTCTCATGTACTAACACATGAAAAGATGCACAAACCTTGAGTGCAGCAGCCATGGAAGGGTTAACAGCCCAAACCGCTCCTTCCAGCTGCAGCTCAGACACACACGATTGAGTT